TGCAGAATTATACTAACTTACGGTTTTGAAATCTTGTAACCTTAAGTATATCCAATCGTAAAGAGCTTTTGGAAGAATTATCATCTTTTGGTGGTTGTATCTTTCTTCTAAATTTTTTCATAGGTAAAGTGGATCTTTCACTCGTTAAATATTCGATTTTCAAATCCTCATGGAGATGATGACGAAGGAAGATCATTGCCTTAGCACGGTTTTGTAAGGATTCTTGATTATCATCCATGATTGTTTGTCCAAGGCCATTAGCATTTAAATGTATCTCAAGCATCAAGCACCCATGATAAATAATTCTTGCTCGAAATGTCAAGTGGCCACAAAATCAAGCTTTGTGAGGTCCGACATGATAAAAATTCTATAATACAAGATATAATAATGATGTTAGAAAATAAAAACAAACATAATAATAATATTCAAACTTCTCAAAACAATATGCATTAGATTATTAGAATATATATTAGATTATTCAAGTTTTCAAATATACATTATATATACTATTAAATTTAAAATAAAAGATAGATTAGGTACATACCTCTTAATAGGCTAGAAGATTTACGTCGTTTGGTAGAACAATCGTGATGATAACGTTTTATAAAAAATAAAAGTAATATGAGAATTTAAAGAAAGGATGACAAGAAGAAGAATTCACTACAAAGTGAATACAAGTGAGAAAAACTTCAAGTTATTCTCTTAATCTCTCTAAAAACTTATACATCAACAAATGAACAATCGAGCCTATTTATAGGCCTCAAAATTGAGATGAGAATCGGAAGGGACTATAAATAATTAAAAGTACATCAATTGCATCACCCTTTCAATTTTTCATATTGAATGGTGAATTGAATCACATTAAGGATCATGAGTAGTGGGGATATGAAAAGTAGATAGACATTCATTATTTTATAACATCATATATATTCTATCATCTAAAAATTATAACGATTTATTTTTTATGTTTTTCACACCTAATTCCATATATATATATATATATATATATATATATAGAAAAAAAAAGACACACACACATATAATTTATAGTATAAATTATAATAATATGTTTTAAAAAGTAAAATATTGATGTTCTAAAATTTTAATTCAAAATTCAGATATTAAAAAACTAAATTTATTAACAAATAAAATCATATAAAAAAAATTATTTGAAGTGAATTTTAATAAGAATTAAATAATTGAAAAATAAATTTAATATAATTAGATATATACACACACTCTCTCTCTCTCTCTATATATATATATATATATGTGTGTGTGTGTGTGTGTGTGTGTGTGTGTGTGTGTGTGTGTTAAAAAAATTAAATAATCATTTAATAAGTAAAAAAAAATTATTGTATAAACTATAACAATATATTTTTAAAAAATAAAACACTAATGTCCTAAAATTTCATCTTAAAATTCATATATTAAAAAAATAAATTTATTTACAAATAAAATATATCAACAAATTATTTTGGTGTGAATTTTAATAAGAAATAAATAATTTAAACATTAAATTTAAACAACAAAAGTAATATATATATATATATATATATGAGAGAGAGAGAGAGAGAGAGAGAGAGAGAGAGAGAGAGATAAAAAGAAAAAAAAAGCTCCTGGTTGGCTTATGCAACCGGGTTGCACATATGCTTGGAGGAAAAAAGAAAAATGGGAGGCCAAGTGTGGTTGGCTTGTGCAAGCGAGCTCGTGTGCCGGGCCTTGCTTGCCACTCAATCGAAAAAAAAAAACAACGCCGCAACTTCCGACGAACTCAAAGTCATCGGAAGATTCGTCGAAAGATCAAGAGTCAACTTTCGGACCCTTAGAAATTGAATTTCGACATTACTTTTTTTCATGAAACACCTCTAAATGGCTAGAATAAAGCCAATAAACACATCTAAAACCTTAAAAATCATTTTAATACACACAAAAATAAAGAAAAATACAAAATCAAATCAGTTTTTTTCTTTTTTTGGCTCCGATTTACCTCTTCTAATTTTTTAATGGTTTGAAACCACCATAGATAAACTATCTCTCAAAGATAAAAAAATCTAGTGGATTTTCGTCGAGCAGAGTGACCTAAATAAACTTGGCCGACGATCTCTCTCTCCTCTCGTCTCTCTCTTCCTCTCCCCTTCACTCTCCACCAACGAGACCAAAATAGATGAGCAAATAAACATGTGGATTAAAATATGTGTTCGAAAATATCAAGGACTAAAGCATAAAAAAAAAGCTATGAATAATGAAATCCATATTGAAACATGAGAGGGTGAACTATGAAATGTGAGTGTATGTATAGTGTTTTAAATAGTGAATCTAAAGTAAAAGAACGTTTTACTTTAGTTTTTTAGTTAATGTTATAGAGCCTTTTATACATTAACACACACCAAATGAACTATTGGTAGTGATTTAGCAAAAAGGATAAAATCCTTGTGCCTCGCCTCTAATCTCCCAAAGTTTTATAAATCATAACTACCATCCTTTATATGTTACCATCCATACTAATGTTCTCAAAGTGCTTCATTTTATAGTTTTTATGATATTTGAATCAATTCTAGAATCATAATTATCATCTTTGATTGTTTACCATTCATAGCAATGTTCTTAAGTGCTTCTTTTGATAGTTTTCACGGTATCCGAATCAACTCTTAAAATCTTTAATCAGCCACCACGATAATCATGATCATTATAATAAGGAGTGAACCTACATACAAGAGAAAGGAGTCATTGCCCCTTTTGATTTTTTACTCTTTGACGATTAAAATTTTTTGAATTTGCCCATCTTTTTATTAACATTTACTCATCATAATTTTATAAACTTTCCAATTACTCCATAACATTATAAGAAAATCGAAGTAAACAGAGTTTTTACTATTCATTTACACTCGCATTGCTAATCATTCATTATCCATCTACACTCATAAGCATTGTTTACCTGGTATTTATGTGAATTTTGGTCATTATGTAAGTATTTTATATAGTATTTTTGTGATTTTTTTTGTGCCTTTGCTAAGACATTTGTTGTGTAAGTTGTAACCAATAATGTAATTTGATCTCTATTTTTTTAAAAAAATTGTTTTAACTTTCAATTTTATTTATTTCATAATTTGGTCCCTGGATATAGAGAAAAAACAAAGAAATAGAGGAGTGAAGAGAGAGAAATCGATGGTGAGATACATTTTGATTGTCGATTTTGACTTTGATTTATTCATTTTAGAAAAAGAGTTTGTTTACGGGGATCACAATATATGAAATAGTCGAAGAAAGCAGATTAAGATTCCATAATATTTTTGAGTTTTTGAATTTGATTTGGATTTTTTATTTTTTAAGTGTATTGAATGAGTTTAAAGTTTCAAACAAGTTGTTGAGCTAATTTCGGTGGTTTTAAAATGTTTAGGAGAAAAATAACGATGAAATTGGTTTTGAAGAGCCAGAATCTTGTTTCCTGATTTTCTAGCTATATTTATGGCGATCATAATTTCGTCAAAAGTTTAAGGTAGTTACTGCATCATCCGTTGTTTCTATTTTTTATAAAAACTACTAGTTCGCGCATGTCCTGTCCATGCACGAGTGGACCTGGTTCTCCACGCTCAAGGGTGCACGCCTAACATGCAGAAGCCTAACTTTTTTTTTTTTGTTGCTTTTTTTAGATTTTTTTTTAATTTTAATTTATTCTTAAAGAAATCTCATATTATTTTTTTAGTTTTTCGTAGCACAGAAAGAAAGAAATATCAATGATGTGTTTTTATATTTTAAACTTAATATATATTTAAATATATTACTCTTATTATTTAAAATTTATCATTTTAGTTTGTTATTTTTTTATAAAAATTATCATCCAATTACTTTTTATTTTTTATTAAATTTTATTTATTTAAAAATATGATTTATTTTTCTATACGTCTCAATGGAATATACTTAGAAGAAAATGATTATTTTCTTTTATTAAAAATAAATAAATAAATAAATTTTATATAACTAATACGATGAATTATTATAATTTTTAAATAAGGCTATTATGATTTTAAATAGATGTTTGATCTAAATACCAGAAGTGTATTGCAAAAAAAAAATCTAAATTTTTGAAAAAAGAAATTAATTGATAATCAAACAATATAAATGAAAAAAAGAAAATAATTGTTATGCGTTGAGACCTATATACGCAGACCAAACATTTATGGCTTAGAAAAAAAAAGAATAAACGTATTTACTTCTTTTTATATAATTAAAATTTATCAAAATTAATTTTATAAATTTTTTATTAAAAATTAATTATTCACGTACAAATAAACATTGAACATTTACTATTTTTTAAAATAAATATTTTATTTTTTTAAAATAACTAATTAAAATTATATTTATCAAAAAAACATCTTATGGCATAACCCTTTTCAAATAGGGTTTTTATTCTAATATTAGTGTTTGTTCTGAAAGTATATATAAACTTGATGCATATATTTTTAAAAATTAATTTTCTCATCAATATTCTATAATAATAAAAAAATATTTTAATAATTATTTTTTTATGCATATTTTTTACGTTAACTGTTTTTTTTATACGATCCTGTAAAAAATATATTAAAATTTACAAATTTAAGTTGGGATTTTTTTGGAACCATAATACTTCATTCGCCAATATCATGTTCTCTTTTGTTTGGCAATTCCGTAAAAGCTAAAAAAATACAAGGGCAATAGTAAACCCACATATCTTTCAAGTTCCCTTGTATGTAAACACTTGCACAGAAACGAATAAAAAGAGAGAGAGAAAAATACAGAGAGAGGGAAGAGAGAGAAATCGAAGGTTCATTTTTGCTCTTCGATGGTAGTTAGGGTTTGCTATTAATCCCTGGAGCTCTAGCTTTTCGATACTTTATATTATCTCTTCCTACAATAAACGCTAATTTAACGTGTTTATAGTTAACTGTGACGAGCCTGATTGAATTTATCGGGAAATTTTTGAATTTGAATCGTCAAGTAAAGAGTTTGTTGCTGCTGCTATGGGCGCGCAAGAGAAATCGCAAGCGAACTCCAATTCGATGCAGGTCAGTCCGTTTTTGTGCAACGAGCTTTGCAATTAGGTTTTCTTTCATTATTTTTGTTATTGTATTTGCCCTAAAAGTGGAGATTGTGTAAGTTAGTACTATTTATTGTAAAGCGTGAGTTTGCTCCTCGGTTACGGTTTTATAATTTGATTTGGTGGTGTTAGTACTAATTCTTGTAAAGCGTGAGTTTTTATAATTGAATCTACTGTTTAATTTTGGCAGTGTAAGTGTGATTGTTGTAATTGAATTGGATTAGGTTTTCACGTCTTGTTAGTTAGTTAGTTTGCTGGTATTGGTATTTGTAGTTGGTTGGCAGTATTGTTTATTGCGTGGTGAAGTCAGCATTGGATTGGGGTTTTAGTGGGCTATGGACTTGTTTTATTGAGATGGGCAATGTTTAACTGATGGGGCTAACATTTTCATGGTCTAGGTGCAGAAATGTTTTTGAAGTTGGTGTTGCAGATAAATGCCGTTGAAGTGTTTGATACAACTGCTAGAGAATGTAGGTTAGATACCACTTGTTCGCTTAGAAACATGCTTTAAAACTGAAGTCCCATTGTAGATTTTGTGATATAGTGTTAACTGATTAAAGAGTAAAATTGAATCAGCAAGGACATGGATGCTTTAAAAAATGTTGGAACTTTTTAGAGTTTGAGATTGGAGAGCCATTTCTATCCATAGGTTTGTTGGAGTTCTATGTGAGCTCATTTGGAATCTTGATTCAGTTATGAAATGGGTTAGAGAGGGGTCCTTTGGTTTTGTTTTAGCTAGACGTGTATTAGGCTTTGTCATTATTATGGTGAGTGGGGATTCTGGTGCATCAGCTGTGACTTTTTCAGTGGCCAAGCTGTTGATTCTTTTTAAGCAAGTTCCTCTGATAAATGATAATCAGTCAAGCAGGAGTGCCCACGCAAAATTATTGTTGTTTTGGTGTTTGCTGTTCACTTTTGTTTTTACTCTCAACTGGCACTTCCTTTCCTCTCTTGTTTGTCGGTTTCTGCAATCAACAAACTTATTTATTGCACTATGACTGCATCTAGGCTGAATATGCATGCTGCAAATCAGCATAATCACCGATGTTTAATGTTACCAAGAATTTATTGATCCAGACTTTGGACTATAGGCTGACTTGATTATTGATTTAAAATGCCGCATGTACTGGTGACCTATGTAGCTAACATTGACAAAAGTCACTTCTTTATTGTTTTCAATCGTGTCTTTGACGTGCCCATCCTTCATTAGTCTGTAGTCCTTTTGTTGGTCCAGCACTGTGTTCCACAGTTGTCTTTGCTGTTCTATGGTTTGCCTCAATCAACTAGAAATTTCCGAGAGCACTAATATATATATATATTTTTTTGTTTATTTCTAGTCAGGAAGTTATTTCTCCTAAATTTCCAGGCTTACAGTGTAGGTTTTACTAGTGGATAGCCTATATAAATGACCTGTTACACCTTTTGTTTTCTCTCTCTGCCTCTTTTCTTGATCAAGTGGAGATTTCTTAACAACATACCAATTTTGTTTGCTTATTAGCTTCAAGTTTGAGGTGTTGTATACCTTTTTTTTTTTTGCAGTAGTTCTAGTGATAATGGCATGTCCTTTATGAATGACTTATTAAGCTATATTTTAAATTTGCAGCGGGTGAAGGTCTACCGCCTGAATGAAGACGGGAAATGGGATGACCAGGGGACTGGGCATGTTACCGTTGACTATTTGGAGGTCTGTTCGAGTCCCTGGCTAATTTATGTGTTTGCTTCATCAATTTATATATAGTTAATCTGCAATAATGAAATGATTTTGTTATGAAAATCATTAATTAACCAAATCATGGGCTTGACTGAATGCAATTGCTATCGTGCAGAGATCAGAAGAGCTAGGCTTGTATGTTATTGATGAAGAAGACAATGAGACATTGCTTTTTCACCGTATAACCCCGGATGACATTTACAGAAAACAAGAAGGTATTTGAATGTTCCCAGAAAGGGTTTACAACAAGTGTGTTTCTATTGATTATTAGCTAATACTAGCACAATAGTCTGGCATCTGAATCTCCATTGAATTGTTCAGTTTTGAACAAATTATTTGTGTACTCACTTTTTCAGATACAATAATTTCATGGAGAGATCCGGAATTTTCTACAGAATTAGCACTAAGCTTCCAAGAGACTGCTGGGTGTTCTTACATATGGTAACAAACTATGTCTTGTATGTGAATTTGTTTTACTTATTTTTCTCTTTGTTCTTCAGTAATGTGATTGCATTAAAACATGTTTACTTCATTTAGGGATCATATCTGTAATGTGCAAAGAAGTCTACAGTTTAGTACTCTAAACAGTAAGTATTCTGTTCAATTTAAATAATGTATCTCCTATGTTAAAAAAAATGCATGTTGTAACTGTGTTTTTAGTAATTGAATCTCTAACAAGCAGCGTATATGGATCGAGTTTTCAGAATCTGTTCTTAAAAGTTCCCCTCTCCCCTGAAGGACCAAATTCTGGATCTTCCCTAACTATGAAAGGACATAGTGGATCATCTGGTGCAACCCAATTCATTGCCTGTTTTATACTTTTTTAAAGTGTCCAGATAAGATTTTGTGCTTCTATGTGTTTGCCTGTGAACCTCATGCTTAGAGTAGGAACCCAAGTCATTGTCTATTTTATGCTTCTATAAATGGTCCAGATTTGCTGTTCTTACTTGCTCGAGTTGATGTAATAAATTGTAGTCGTGGTTCTTCTTATTCTGACGATGAAAATCATGTTTCCTTGATACTTGGGAATGAGAAACTTTAATGTCCTTGTCTGTTATGTAACAAAACAACAACTTATAACCTGACATCACGGCACCACCACATGTTTGATGTATTCCTGTATCACAATAATAATTTGTCCACCATTGTTGTGTAAATGAAGGAGAATTTTGAATGAGCTTGAGAACATACAACAAAATTTTTTATAGGTATTGAACAATGTTTTTGTTCTCCATGAATAGATTGAAGGATCGCAACAATATTGTTTTAGTGTGCCAATTGTTGAGGGGCACCATCTCCAGTCTTCGCACAAACAGAAACTTCTTACTATTTGTAGATATTATCTTGATTTGCTCTGGTGCGTTGTGTTATTTTTTTTGCTTGGAGTACTTGCGGTCTTATCTCTTTTCTAAAATTCGCAGGTGAGACATTTCACAGCATGAACAGTGAGTTGAGAGAGTTGCCCGCTGTTGAACTTTCCACACTTCCTTTAATCCTTAAGGTTTTACTTCTTTTTATTCTCATTTTGTTTGATTCAGTTTATTTTATAGTTACTTCTCAATAGGAAAACTAATTATTGTCTCCTAACTTTTTTTCGGTTATTCTGATGACCTTTTTTAAGAGTAGTCCCTTTTCTCTCATTCTATGTCATAGTTAAACTGGTTTGCTACTTTGATGTTTTCATACTATTCTTTTGATTCTAGTATTTTTAGTTCCTTGCTCCCAAATCCAGGATTTGGGTAGATTCTAGGTTGGTATGTTACTGATGTGGAAATAAAAAGATAAACATGTTGGCCAGGATCTTTTTGAGCTCTTTATTCCCTACTTGGTCTTGGGTGATCTTTTAATTAAGTTGAATGAATTTACTTTGCAGACTGTGTCTGAGAGTGGTATTGCAGATCAGATGAGACTGACAGAGCTTATAATGAATGATGTAAGCCTTACATAAATTTTTTCGATGTCATCTTGACTTGGTTACTGTGTGCTTTGAGGATGAAAGGTTGATCAAATTTCAATTTGTTTCAAGACTCTTGCCATTAATTACATATATTTTCTCGGTGCCTAATTCTGTATATCATGCTACTTCCACTTATTTTAGAGCATTCTTTATATGATTTTTTTTTTACTAGTTGATATAATTAATATTCAATTTGGAAGATCTTCAAACTTCAGCTCCAAAGCCGTAGAGAAATAGAAATGGGCAACCTACAACTTTCAAGGAATAGCTGAAAGTCAGGCTTATGGTTCTATATAATCCATGCAATATTTAAAATTTTCACTGTGGGATTTTTCTCCCTTCTCAAGTCTAAAGACAATTTGTTTATTGAATAGGAACAGAAGAAAACTGTGATTTTATGTCATTGTAGGTAATTTCTGAAACTGCTTTGTGTATATTTTGGAAATATGACTTGAAACATGCTTGCCAAGAGTGGTTGCTTTTGCCTATGTATACAATTTTGCTACCAAAATCTGTCTAGCTAGATGCTGATAGGGAGTAAAAATTAACGATATTGGATCTTTGTACAGGAGGGTGCATCTGAATATTTATTGGAGAAGTTGACATGATTAATTGTTCATGCTGTGTTAATTTTGTTTTCCTTGCAGCAAGATTTTTTCCGGAAGCTGATGGATGTTTTCAGAATCTGTGAAGACCTAGAAAACATTGATGGCCTTCACATGATATTCAAAATAGTCAGAGGGATCAGTGAGTAGTCCTTCACTCCTTCCTGGTGTTGTATTTCTTTGAATGTTGCTTATTTGCCTGCCCTTTGTTGACTGACATTGAATTGTTTGCTGCAACCTGCAGTTATGCTCAACAGTCCTCAAATCTTTGAGAAAATATTAGGGGATGAATTGATCATGGATGTTATTGGTTCACTTGAGTGTAAGTTCCCTTTCTTTGTTGGTTCATAACATTCTGTTCTAATCCTTTGCACATGAATCTAATTTTGAAAAATTGAAGTATAATTTGCATATTTTAGCTTGTATGGTTGGTTACAAGAGTGGTGAGTGCTTTTGGTCATAGCTACAACAACAGTCTGATAGATTTTGGTTCCCATTTCATGATTGCCATCCCTTTTTGTCATCTGGCATTCAAGCTGTTATGGTTTCAATTCATCCTTTTTTTACGATAAGATTTTTATGGTTTTTTTTTTAACCATTTCTTCATATAGACAGAAACTTCCATTTTTCCTTCTAACATCAACAAACATAGGATGTGCCAAGCAATTTTTTGTGCAAGTTGCATAATTCTAGTGTTGCTAGCAGTGTGAACTATGTTGTGGTTGATGTTTAAGTTAGACCTAGGTATAGCATACGAGTTTTAACTACTTTCTTGGTAAAAAGTAAAACATACCATCTGTTGGCATTTGTGATCGATTATGTTTCCAAGTTGCCTGGTCTGTTTAAAATCTTTATTTTTTTTTCTGCATATGGTTACGTGCTTGATAATTTTTTAATATTCACATTTACAATTCTTTCTTTTTTTCCCACAAAAAAATGCACCTTGTGTGTTAAACCACACACACATCAGACATAGCTTGCCTTGGCATATAAATTTTCTTTTTAGAGGATTCTGGTAATGTATTATTTGGTGATATGTGCACAAGAAGAGTTATAATTAGTTGATACTTTGTAAAATAGTTGTTCATCATTAGCTTATCTTGAATTTTGTTTTCAGATGATCCTGAGATTTCTCATATCCAACATCATCGTAATTTTCTGAAAGAGCACGTTGTTTTCAAGGAGGTAACATATTACTGCTAATTTTTTTTTTTTTGGGGGTTGGGGGGGGGGGGGTGGAGCGCTTGTTGAAGGTTTTTAGTGAAGAAGTCGTTATGCATTTCTAACACTTACTCTACTCCATTGTTTAAGGCCATACCAATCAAAGATCCCCATGTCCTGTCAAAGATACATCAGACATACAGAGTTGGTTATCTGAAGGTTTGTTTCTTAAATGTTCCAAGTTTGGGATGACTTAGTTTGGTTTTTGGCGTGGGAGTTCTTACATTCTGTCATCTCTTTTAGGATGTTGTTTTGGCCAGAGTATTGGATGAGGCCACAGTTGCAAACCTGAATTCCATAATTCACGGAAATAATGCTGTTGTAAGATTCAAAACCTGATTTTTTATATATTATAAGGTCCTTACTGGTTCAACTCTAACTGTGTTGCTGTCTTATAGGTTGTTTCTTTGTTAAAGGATGACAGTACCTTTATTCAGGAATTGTTTGCCAGGTTGAGATCGCCCACAGCATCTGCAGAATCAAAGAAAAATTTGGTAATTGTGAACATCTAAATACTTTTGATATTTGGTCTGTCTGTTAATTGATAAAGTGCAACTATGAAGATGAAATAAACATTGATATTAATTATTTATTTTGACACTGAAAGTTTTCTTCTGTGCAGTGTACCCTCACTTTCCTAACAATTACTTCTTTTCTTTTTTCTTTTTTCAAATGACTTAAAAATTGCTGAAGAATGCTTATTTTTGAGTCAGTTGGATGATCTAGGTATATGGACAATGACTTCCCTGTTTTACCATAATGTATAAACTGTTTAAACACGTTGAATTTAATTAAGATATGAGTTTAAATTCCTTGTTGATATTACTATTTCAGACATTCTTTATTTGCATTATGGCTTTCAGTATTGAAGACTTTCCTAATAATATGGTGTACTGTGTAAGGAGTGGGTTTTAGATGCCATCTCCCTCTCTTGATGAAATATATCTGTGTGAGAAAATGACAACATGTCTCTTTGTTGGGATTGCGTTTCTTTTGAAATAATTTCGTCTTGTGATCAGTCATAGATTTGATTTTGTGGAATGTTCTAGGTCCTATATCTTTTTATGGTTTGGCATCCATGTTCAATTCCATGGTAGTAGGTTCAAGGGCAACACTGCTTTGAAAATATAAATATAGAAAAGCAGTTCTTACTTTGAACTGCTTAGCTAAATCATCCCTTAATGCCATTTATTTGTCATAACTTTTGGAATATCTGGGTTGGTTAGTGTGTTGCTGTTTTCTGTTTCCTATAAATGCATGGATACAGCTTTGTGTGATCTCATGATGTCCTCCAGATTAATATGTTTCCTCATCCCATGCATATAGGTGTATTTCTTGCACGAGTTTTGTAGTTTAAGCAAGAGCCTGCAGATGGTCCAGCAGCTCCGACTGTTTAGGTATGTAATGACAGAAGTTGTACGCATTAAGAGTACGATTTTCTCTTTTGTGGCTATATCAGCGTAAAGTAGTTTCTTCTTTGTTTTTCTTTCTTCTTGATTTATATGTTAAAACAATTGAATCCTTATTTCTTATAGGGATCTCATGAATGAAGGTATCTTTGACATCGTTGCTGATACTTTGCAGAGTCAAGACAATAAACTTGTCTTAACTGGGTAACGGTGGCCTGTTCATTTTTGTTTTAAATTTTTTTGGCTGTTTTTTTTCTTATCTTTGTTTTGAATTTTGACTGTTTCTTAGCTATCCGTAACAGAAAATTATTCTTATGGATGCAGGACAGATATCCTCATTCTTTTCTTGAATCAGGATCCAAACCTTCTGCGTGCTTATGTTGTTCGGCAGGAAGGAATTCAGCTACTAGGGCTGTTGGTATGTATTCTATGAGCTGTCTACATTTCCTCGATCCTATGATATCCTTGGACATGCAAACTAACACATACAACGATTTCTTGCACAAACATAATATCCTGAAAGATGAGATTTATCAGAGTCCCGAGAAGTGACAAAACTCTTATTTGTATGGACTATGGCCTATATGAATAAAAATCAATTACCCTTTAATTGCGTCACTTAAAGAAACAAATCCAATATACATTCTTATTATATTTTGAAATGTAGTTTTATAATGTCAAGTAAAACTACATATACAAAGTTGATTTGCAGCGTGAAAGAAAATCAACATAAACCTTGTTTGCATGCCTTTAAGTTAAGAGAATCAAATATCCTCTTGACTTCCACAATTGTTGATTTAATATTCGGGGGATATTGTTCAGCAATTTATGGACACTTGAATGGCGAAACCAGTTGTATAACATGCCTTGATAATCTATATGTAGAATAATATATGTCAAGGTCAATTCCAGTGTTGTGGTTATTGAAGAGTTCTCTTCAACTCCAACTCGGAAATGCACTACCTGCACCCTTGGGATCAAATTTTCCTAGTGCCTCTATGAACATTGTATGTAGCGTTTTGGGTGATGTTCTGCTATATTTGTTTGCTTTCTATAGCTCTGTCAGTGCCACTTATGCTGGCATCTGATCTTATGTATAGTATATTGCATTTTCCCATGACTTTTAGCTCTGTAAGTTCTTTGGTGTATTGCATTTTGTGTTCTGATTTTTTTTTAATACCTATTCATGTCTAAGTGTACATGTTCTATCTGTTTAAGGAACTAAATTTATTTTATTTACAGGTTAAAGGAATGATAACAGACTTTGGAGAGGACATGCACTGCCAGTTTCTTGAAATTCTTCGCAGTTTACTGGATTCCTATACACTGTCAGGAGCACCGGTACTCCTTGATTATTCATTCTTTTATGCAGCTATTATGTTCCGTCATTAAGTGTGCTGAGTGGTAAATGGAGTTCCTATACCAGTTGTGAAAATTTGTTTTGGTTGCTATTCTGCTTGTTTCTGTATTTAGTCTGCAACTTCACTGTAAATTTACGCACTGAAAGATGACCTGCTTCCTCTTTCACTCTGCCTTACCATGAGCCCGGGTTCTGTTTGTAAGCTTGCAGTCAGGCCTATCTGGAATCTGAATATTGCTCAAGTAACTAGCCTGTTTGTTTTTTTTTTAGTCCATTTTTGCATCTATAAAACTTTTCCATTCAAAAGGAAAGCTTTAGGAAGTTCATGAATCAAAGTGATTTTAAGTATACCTTGTGGAAGGGGTGGGATGCTTTTAGGTCTCCATCCAAATAGCTGTTGGGGGATAGATTGGTCTTCTTGGCAGTGATATGATGTTCTTCTCTGGGCCTTTCCAGGGTTTCTTTTTCCGATGTGAAAAGGGCTGGAAGGCTCTTTAATTATATTAATTGTTGTTTCATTTCCCTTTTTTTGTGGAGTTTGACTCCTTTTCTAATATTTGGTACCATCATTGAGAATGATTCATTTTTATCGGGAACAAAACCCTTGGCTATTATGCATGAAATTTGTTACCTATTTAATTTTTGGTTATGTCGTCTCCCGGGTATAATTATAATTGGTTCCAGATTGCACATTGTTTAATGATACTTGTGCAATTCTTTTGCCATTTTATAACACACATGGGTTTGTGCATCGTGTCTGTGTTTATGCACGTAGGTGCAATATTTTGTATATAAATAGTTAAAAAAATGTGGTGACTTGTTGGATGTTGTAGTAACTTGGATGCAAACCGAATATCATCCTTAAATGCACAAACTTTGAATATTGTTTTTAATGTGAGTTTATCTTGGCAATGACTGAATGATAATGATTTTGTCTCTCTTTGCTGCAGAGAGATAATATAGTTGAAATCTTCTACGAGAAGCACTTGGACCAATTAATTGATGTTATAACTGCATCTTGTCCTAATGAAGTTGTTCCTCCATCAAGTGGTAAATCTTCACGGTTTGGTGAGAGAGTTGACACTTGCAATGGCGTGAAGCCAGAAATACTGTCAAACATATGTGAATTGCTGTGTTTCTGCGTTCTGCACCATCAATATAGAATAAAGTAAAATTTTTTATACTTAATCTTCTAGTACAAGGACTCAATTCCTGCTCTCAATTTTGTAACAAATGACTGTTTTTTCTTCTGTTTTCAGGTGTAACTTTCTCCTTAATAATGTTGTTGAAAAAGTCTTGACACTGACACGAAGGAAGGAGAAATACCTCGTAGTTGCTGCTGTTCGTTTTGTTCGCACTATCCTTTCCCGCCCTGTAAGTCACTTTTATGGAATTAACTCTCTAACAGATCCATGAGGTAACTGACTGTTCTTATGGAAATAATGCATAAAAAATACTGCAAAATTATTTCTCCATGCATTACTCCATTAACGAAATTCATTTCTTTTATTCCCTGAAGTGTAGCCAAAATCATAGTGCTTTTCTTGGTGATTTAATCTTATGAAAATGAGGGATAGGCAGTATCATGGTTACAGAAAGCAGCTCTTAAGTGCAAAATATGTATGAGAACTACAATATTATCTGAGGATATGTATATTGTACTGCACTTCCATTTTTCATGGATGAATGTGTTAGATTAATCATTTTTGTAATTGTCGAGTATAAAATAGGTAAAGATAGAAGAAACTAATACCTTTTTTATGAAATCTTACATAAAAGAAAACAACTGGTATGTGTGGCATACTAATCCACTAAAATATGTGAATAAGGGATATACTAGTTGATATAGTGGATGCTGGCATTATCTCTCTTTTGTAGATTGACAACTTTGTTGGTATATGTGTTTGACGTTCCTTATTTATATTTTACTCACAGGATGAGCATTTGATAAATCATTTTGTCAAGAACAACCTCCTTAAACCAATTGTAGATGCCTTTGTAAGCAATGGCGACCGTTATAATTTGCTTAACTCTGCCGTTTTAGAGCTTTTTGAGTATATCCGCAAGGTGACTATCCTATTACCAACTCTCTTTTCCCTTCCATGTTAGATACTTTCAGAAGTATTCATTGCGGTATAATATGTTTCATGAAGGAAAACCTGAAATCGTTGCTGAAGTATATTGTTGATTCATTCTGGAATGAGTTGGTCAAATTTGAGCATTTGACCTCCATTCAGTCTCTAAAAGTTAAATATGAGCAGGTATAACTTTTGCCCAATTTTCTCTTCTTTATTATCATGTCTTTGTGGTTCCTTTGTACTAACAAGTATAATTCCAGTGTCTAGAGCAGTGTGGAGCTAAAAGCGCTGGTAGCACATTGGACCCAAGAAAACGAAACGATGAACGTGCACTAGAAAAAGAAGAGGAAGACTACTTCAACGAAGACAGGTATCGGTTTGCTATTAGTGAGATTGTATGCCCGGACTTTTTGATAAGACCTTCCCTCCCATAACTACTGAGCTTGAATATCTAAGCAGTGATGAAGAAGACACAGCTTCTGCATCCCGTACCCAAAAAGCACAAGCTCATTCAGTTTCATCCAATGGAGTTGCTGCATGCTACCCATCATTAAGGTATTGTAATTGCCTCATGCTAAAACATCTGGGAAAACATTTATAAATATTTGGTATGTTCTTCATGTCTTCCCCTTGATTTGTAGTCCAAGATCTCGTGGACTTGTTGATTATGATGATGATGAGGATGACGAAGACTATAGACCGCCTCCTAAGAAACAGCAAGAAACTCCAGAGGATGATGAAGGAACTATTGAATCGCTTAGGATGAAGCGGAAATTGCCTTCCAAGGATAAGGAGCCTGACCTAGCGAAGAAACAGCGATTAGGCAAACACTCGAAGTCAAGAGAGAATGTTTTTGCTGCTTTATGTTCGACACTTAGCCATGCTGTCTTGCCCAGCAAGAAAGCTGCAACTGCCGTGCATATAGCTCCTGTGGATGAAAACAAAGGCTCAGTTGAAGAAAGTCACGAAGAGAATGATCCTGTCATTTCTAGAAGCTGCTCTGATAATAATAGCAATTCTGGCGAGGAAAACCACAGGGAGAAGGATCCTGCTGGTCCTAAAAGCTGTTCTGATTGCTTACACAGCACATCAGAGAATGGACAGATGATTGGAGATGATGGCCCATTGATACCACCTCCAAAATCCTCACCAGAAATGACTGTAAATGGGTCTTAAGTTATCTATCAGGATTGTGGCTAGCAGGTTGACATGTTTGGTTCCCTGTTTTATTCGTGGATGTCATGAATCAGGCTTGGTTTGTTAAAGGAGTGACATAATTTGGAGGAACTGAGCTGAAAGGTGGGTGAATGACGTTCATGGCTTTCCATTTATATCGTAGGAAAGGATACTGTATAGTGCCACCCAGGGTCAGAAGGAAAGAAATACTAATGAAGTGGGGCCCAAATGCCCCTTAGTAGCCTCTCTGATTTTGAACAGAGCAATCATGGCTTTTGTAAAAACAACTATCCAACTGACTATTTTTACATTTTTTTCCCTTCTGTTCGCTCTCTTTCATGTTCTCTTCTTTGTCGTCAACTTAAATATCTTTTTTTGTTCTGCTCTTATTTAGTCAGTGTAAACAATATGATAGAAAGGGCATCAATACTTGCCCTGCACAATAGGTCCCTTGTTGCAGTTTTGTGGTAGTGGGTGTGGTTGTAATAGAGGAAGCTTTTAGTGAGCTGGTCAGTGGCCAGATATTCTCAATTGTAGTTGAAATCTTATTTAATGACCATTGTGAACCAAATATCTTCTAATCTCTGTCCTTCGATTCTGTATCAGTGGTTTCTTCTGTTTTTTTCTTTAGCACAGCATTGATTAAAATTAGTCATTTTCCAGTAATTTGATGGTTACAGTTGTGTTTTTACTATAGTCTTCTATCCTCCTGACAAGTTGACATGGCAAGTTGTTGATAGAAAATCCTACCGGCCAAAGTCCATGGAAGATGAGGATGGTGAAAATTGGAAGACCGGTCATGGTTTCACAATTACTTTACGTGTTGTGGAAAGAGCAACCTAAAGCGGAAAAAAGCCTTTCAAAGCGAGCAGTCGGAGAAATCCTACAAAGGTACAGCCCAAAAATACAATACTGGACACGGGAAAGCCCTGACCGCTAGGCAAGCCACCGGACCACCCCTTTCCCTCAGCCCATCAATTGATCGGCTCAGCAACAAACGCAACACTATCGATGTCCAAGTCTTTCTGGTTAAACTGCTTGGCGAACTCTAGAAGAGAATGCAAACCCCTAGACCTGATCGAGCCAGCGGGCTTGCTAGTCACTAGAGTTAATATATCAATACTATGATGTAATTTAATTAGAAACAACTAGTTTTATATCCATGTTATGCTGCGGTCGGATAATCGTTATATGCATAAGGTAAATGATTTGTATGGTATAATATGAATAAAAATTTTATTTCTTGTAATTAATGTAAATCAAATTTATTTGCTAAGGAAAATCGGTTGATTTATATATATTTATTAACAAAATAATCAATAATATTTAAATAAAAAGTTGTATGTGAATAATTGAAAGGTTCTTTCAAAACATTATTTCAATTATTTTATTTACAAAATATTGATTTTAGAACATAAAAAAGAATAAATAACAAATAATAAACAATTGGTGTTATGTGTGCGGATATATAATTAATTTCTAACAAAATTAATGATATACATTTTAATTATTTTATTTAAAAAATATTAATTTTAGAACATAAAAAAGAATAGATAACAAATAATTAGTGTTATGTATGCGGATACAAAATTAATTTTTAACAAAACTATATATATATATATACATATATAGTAGATTCCAAGTCTATAGTATAAACAATTAAAAACAAATAGCTAAGTCTGTATGAAATATATTAAAGTCAATAAATTTAAATAAAAACTATTACAAAATTGGTTTTCATAAATTTTACTTCTTAATTTATGATGAAAGAGATTCTTGAATTACAAATTAAATTATAAATTAGTTCATCTCATTTTGAAAAATGAATTAATTAATTCTTTGGTTTAAAAAATAAGTTATTTAATTTTTTTAATTAGTGTTGACCAAGAATAATTTATTTTTTTGTTTTAAAAAATGTTTTTTCCTCATATTTTTACTTATTTTTTTTTATTCTTTCTCTATTTCTAAAAACAAAATAAAACCATTGAAATAGTAAAAAGGACAAAAATTTTAGCTTTTGAACCGAATGGACTAATGATGTTATGTATTCGGATATATGATTAATTTTCAACAAAACTAATGATATATATATTATGATGATAGTATAAACAAACATTAAAAAAGAACATTTAAATTTTATGGAATATATTAAAGTCAATAAATTGAAATAGAAATTACTACAAAATTGATTTTCATAAATTTTATTTTTTCATCCATGATGAAAGAGATTCTTGACTTGAAAATTAAATTATAAATTGTTTCATCCCATTTTGAGAAATGAATTAATTAAGTCTTTTGGTTTCAAAAATAAATTATTTTATTTTTTAATCAGTGTTAACCATGAATAATTTATTTATTTTAATTTATAAAATGTCTTCTTCTTTTTTATATATATTTTTATTATTTTTTATTCTTTCTCTATTTCTTAGAACAAAAAATAAAAAACATTGAAACAAAAAAATGACAAATTTTTTTTTTTGAACAACGAGGGCTAATTAATTTGTTTCTCGAGAAAAGAGGGACTAATTTATATTCGCTCTTGAATAGCAAGTAACTTTGGCTTCCTTGCCTAAAATAAGAAGAAAAAAACATTAAAAGAAGATAGGAGCATTAATGCTCAATCTAAAAAAAAAAAGAGAGGAGAAAATGACAAAAAAAGCTAAAAAAATAAAATTAAAAAGTGAATCGATCAAGAGTAAAAAAGAAATTTCTCAAATCTATCGAGTGTCAAAAGAAAAATTAACAAAAAGGTAAGAGGCGAAAAATTAAGCAACATAATAAATAGTGAATCTAAATCTTAAATAAGAGTAAATAAATAGTAAATATCTCAGTTCTTTTAGTTTTTTTCTTCCTACTAATATATATTAAATTAAAAATAAAAGATAAAAAATTTATTTAATTTTAAAATTTTTAATCAAATTTTATATTTCATTCGTGCTTCTTTATGGTTTTCATAGATTTTGTTTTTAAAAAAACATGATTCATTTTTAAATAAAAACCTACAATCATATGAATATAAAATTTTTAAAAATATCTTAATATTTTTTTTATAAGGCTACATTAGAGAAATATATCAACAATCTATAAAAATTCGTATAAAAACTAACTAATGAATCTTTTTAAATTTTTTAAAAATATGTACATTTGATATATAGACACACACACACACACACACAAAACAATCAATAATATTATGTATTAAAACATGTATTTGAATTATTAGGTAGTTATCTTAAAATATTATTTTATTTAAAATAAATTAAATTTAGCAGATTAAAAATAAATAATAGGACATAGTTGGTGCCATATGTGTAAATGCAAAATTAAGTTTTAATAAAATCAATGATCTCAATACTTTTTTGTATACATCATTACCATACTTTGTGTAAATTAAAAAATGTATTTTAAAAAATTAAGTTGTAAGAAATATATTAAATTTAATAGAATGCAATAAAAATAATTTAAAATTTTATTTCAAAAAAATTGATTATATCAAGAATAAGGTAAAGAAACACATGAATTCTATTATTTATAAAAAAACATATTAAAAATTTATACACAAAGAAAGATAAATTATATTTATTAAAAAATAAAATTTTATAAAAAATAAAAAATTTAATTTGTTGAGAATTTTTATAATAAAAAAATTTAAGAGATTAATTTTAATTAATAAAAAATATAATCCCATATATATTTTTGTTCTAAAATTTAAAAACATAAGAGGTCAAAAACATCTTTTAAAAATACAAGGAACAAAAAATATATTTTTAAAAAATATGAGATAAAAATGGATTAAGTTAAAAACATGAGATGTCAAAATATTTTTAAAAATATGAGGATTTAAAAATATATTTTGAAAATATAAGGAAAAAAAAGGAACGAAGTGTAAAATTTGAAAATGAATGTCCAAGAAATTATAAAAAAATTATGAAAAAGTCATTTCAAAAAATTACAAAATTGCCACATTATGAATAGTGAACTAAGGTAAATGAACAGTAAATGAATAGTATTTACTCGTTTATTTGCTCCATTTCTTTTAGTTTTTTATTAGTCGGATTCTCGCGCTATGCTACGGGTAGACAATCGTTACATATGTAGGGTTAACAATTCTTATGATGTAATGTCAATAGAAAGTTTTATTTTTTGTGATTAATATAAATCGAATCTATATATAGTTAATTTATAATAAAACTACACACACACACACACACACACACATTGAATATTGAGAGTATAGAGAATAAATAGATAAATATACAAAAAAATCCACCTAAATTATATAAAATATATTGAAATCAATAGATTGAAATAAAAACTACAACAAAATTGATTCGATAAATTCTGAATAAATATATATAAAAAATAAATAAAACTTGTGAATTTTTTAACTCATTATTTAAAAAAAAATTGAGTCAAACTATCTAAAATATACTTTTGGCTCTCTCTCTCTCTCTCTCTCTCTCTCTCTCTCTATATATATATATATATATATATATATATATATATAAAAAATAAAACACTCATTTAAAAATATAAAAATAATTTACTGTATAAATTATAATAATATATTTTTAAAAAATAAAACATCGACGTTGTAAAATTTTATCCTAAAATTCATATATTAAAAAACCAAATTTATTAAGAAATAAAATTATACGAAAACAAATTTATTAACAAATAAAATTATATCAAAAAATTATCAGCCATTACAAATTTATAATAAAATAAAAAATAAAAAATGTTTCAAAATGACTATTGTAACATAAAAATATGTTTGTTAATCATGAGCCCTATATATATATATATATATATGAAGGAAAAAAAAAAAAAGGAAAGAATGCCGAGCACCAAGGCTTGGATCTATGAAAAAAAAAATGGGAGGCTGCTCGAATGCGAGCCTTGGCTGCTGGTCAACCCAACGACGACAAAAAAGAACAAGAAAAAAGAAAAGAACTGGGATACTCGCTCATCACCGTAGATAGACCCTAGTTCTTTTAGTTATATGTACTAGTCGGATACCGCGTTACGCTGCGGGTAGACAACTCGTTACATATGTAGGGTTAACAATTCGTATGATGTAATGCTAGTAGAAAGTTTTATTTTTTGTGATTAATATAAATTGAATCTCTCTCTCTCTCTCTCTCTCTCTCTCTCTCTCATATATATATATATATATATATATATATATATATATATATTGAGAGTATAGAGAATAAATAGAAAAATATACAAAAAAGCCCACCTAAATTATAGAAATATATTGAAGTCAATATTTAAAATAAATACTACAACAAAATTGATTCTGATAAATTCTGAAAATATATATATAAAAAATAAATAAAAATTATGAATTTTTTAACTCATTATTTTAAAAAATAAATTGAGTAAAACTATAAAATATACTTTTGGCTCGTGTGTGTGTGTCTATATATATATATATATAAAAAATAAAATACTCATTTAAAAATATAAAAATAATTTATTGTATAAATTATAATAATATATTTTAAAAAATAAAAAATCGACATTGTAAAATTTTATCCCAAAATTCATATATTAAAAAACCAAATTTATTAAGAAATAAAATTATATGAAAACAAATTTATTAACAAATAAAATTATATAAAAAAATTATCAGTCATTTCAAATTTATAATAAAATAAAAAATTAAAAATGTTTCGAAAAGACTATTGTAACATAAAAATATATTTGTTAATCATTACCCTTATATATATATATATTTGAAAAAAAAAAGGGAAAGAATGCCGGGCACCAAGGCTTGGGTCTATGAAAAAAAAAAAAAATGGGAGGCTGCCCAGCCAAGGCTTGGCGCGTGCAGGCCTTGGCTGCTGGTCAACCCAGCAGCAGCACACAAAAACAAAAAAAAAAAAGAAAAAAGAAAAAAGAAAAGAACAGGGATACTGCTCATCACTGTAGACAGACCCTAGTTCTTTTAGTTTTATCTAAAGTAATGTTCCTCAGTCCTGATCACAGTAGATCCGAAACTGAAAACTCAAGGAGATGGTGATCTATCCTTTGAAGGAACAAGGCTTTAAGGGAAGAACGTGGGCTAGAAGGTGCTAGCCGCATGATGTGGAAACCAAAATATGAGCTTGACACCTTGGACCTCCAAATGGATTTTTTTTTTTTTTTGGATGCGTAAATGATTGGGATAGTGTTTTTGGCGAGGATCGGAGAACCCTTGCATAATTAATGGGTTAACAATTCGGAAAGTCTCTATATTGTTAGCACTAACTTGGGATGAGGTTTTATGTCTGCCCCAAACCTAAAGGACATCGCTATGGTTTTTACGAGTTTAGAGATGAAATCAGAGCGACAGAGGTTATTAAAAGCCCGAGCCCGAGGGTGAAAAAACAGAGATTGTCATCAAAGGTGTACGTGATTGAACTTGAAGAAATTCGAGCTCAAAAAGTTGAGTTGTAGCGTAGTATTTCAGTGTTGAGATTGCAAAAAAATTAATAATAATTCAAATTAAATGACAGTTAGAGAAGGAGAAATTGTTCAGATATCGTAGGTTTAAAGGCTAAAAATATGAAAATTTGGATAATTGTTATGTTAATGAGCTTGATTGTTTACTGATGAATTAATGGTTAATATTCTATTGGAGGTTGCATTATGGGTTTTGTCTTCATGGTTTTTGTCCTCGTGTCGTTTAAATACATGACATTCATTGAATAAGCACCTGCACTGCTACTGCCAATACATATCAATGAGTAAATAGTTTGTCCAAATGACTTGGTTCACCAAATACCTTATGAGGTTCACGTCAGTTTGCAACATTGTTTTCTTGAGTCGGAATATTTGCTTGTTCCCCTAGATTCCTAAGCCTTTTTTACTCTGACCTTGTGATTGCTCTAAATCCAATTTTGGATTCTTTCTTTTTGGACATTTAACAATCTTCTTATCATATCCAGCCTGTAAATAATGATAGATTTTGGAATCTTGATATTAAACAAGCCCTAAACAAAGGCAATACACATTTTTTGCCACTCAAATCCCCATCCCTTTTGAATCTTTGACTCGCAACATAGAAGATGAAGAAATGATGTTTGTTGTCTCGATAAGTAAATCGCGAGGATAATCTGTCGAGATAGATGATGAAGTGCCAAAAGTGGAAAACAACTCCTCCTTTCGAGCATAACGGAAATATTGAATCAAAAACTAAGGTTTAGATGAGAGAGATTGAGTTTAGAGTAAAATAATAAGGATTTTCAATTGTTAAATCCCGCCACTTTTCAACTACCCGTCGTTTATTTATTTATTTTGTATATTCTTTTTTATTTATAGATAATCGTATATGAACATACGTCCAGTAATAATAGAGAACTATTAATTTATATGCTCCGGCCTTGCGGGTGGGGGTGGTGGTTCAATTTTGAAATCGATGCTTAAATTGTACTGGGTAAGTATGTTTGTTTGATTATTGTTAAAACAACAGAACAATGCTGCGCAGAGCTTTCCTCAATTGAAGGACACATGGAGCGCAAAATAATATAGAGGATCTCCGGAATCGCCACGAAGTAAGGATTCTCGTTACTAGAAGCAGACACGTAAACCTGCTTTCCCAAACACGTGTCCTCTTAGGTCATACTAGCATTCGGTAGCTTCCCGTATCCATATAGTTGCTTCCACCGCTTCGGTGTTTTGTGTGTTTTCATTGACTCCTTCATTGCTTGTTTTGTTTTTCCTTACCATCATCACTTCTTTGTAGAATTTTGGTACGTGCGTAGAGAAGTGAAAAGAAAGATGAGCCATAACTTGGAAACAAGGTCATTACTTGATGAAATCCGTCACTTTGATAAATGTTGCTTCTTCGACTTTGGTCACCCTCTCCTTAACCGTATTGCGGAGAGCTTTGTCAAATCCGCTGGGGTAAACTTAATTACATTTCTTGATTAATTTTTAGTTTTTGAAGAATGATTAGCTATGGAACACATATGCTATCTAATTAATAAATCATGGTCATGGGGATTAATTGCTAGTAAGTAATTGTCGCGCGTAAATGAACGTAGTCGTATTAATTTAAATTTGTGTTACATGCCAAACTTAATTTAGCTGAAAAAATACCATGTTGGTCATATATATAGATTGGAGCAATTCAGGCGGTGTCACGGGAGGCTTATTTCACAGCCATTGAAGGTAATTATGAGTTCATTTAATTTTGATTTTTGGTTTATTTATTTATTTATTTTTGTGTTGGAATTACTGTTGTTTGATTTACGGCTTGCATGTGGATGTGGATGGTAATTATTATCAGGTGCAGAGTCAAATGGTGGTGTTCCACGGGAGATTTCTGTTGATGGCAAGAAGCGCCATCGTTTCCCTGACCTCAGAGGTATCTGACCTGTTCTTTCGGATCTTGATCTGTTAAATGTAGCAATTTAAGTATACTTAATTTCCTAGATATTGGTAAGGGCGATTCTGGATATAATTGAGGAAGAAATCACGACACGTTTGAAACTTTGAAGTAGATTTGCTACAACCCAAGTGTTCTATTAATTTAGTGTTGCACAGTTCGACAGGTTAGTCCTTAGGTGGCAGAAGATCAAATTTTCAGTTAATCCGTATTGTGATTAGTAGCTGAAACAGATACCGTAATTCTAGATTGTCATAACTCTTATAAGTTGGCACTGCCTTACGGTGTTAATTCAATTTTTTGTGCTTCACAGGTGAAACCAACAGAAAATCTCTTGAAGCCTTGGTGAGTTTGAAATCCAACTTGGTGCACTTTTGTTGCAGACCTTAACATGGTTTTTATGATGCTAAGTCATATGCTTTAGACACACTATTTCTTTGTGTTACATCTGTAGGAGCTTGAAATTTCAATTTTCCCTTCAGTAAATTTGTCAGGGAATTCTTTTCAGAGGCAACTATATATATCTTTTGATGAGATGTTTTTCCAATACTGCTATGTCTCTAACGTTGCCTTGTTATTTTGTTAAATAGGTAAGGAACACCGGAAAAGAATCTTTACAATGGGGTGAGATTGCATTTGATAACTGAATCATTTTGTTTATTTTTATTAATATTTTATGGTGGGGGGTTGGATGATTTTGCCCGTAGAGCTAATTACTCTTACGTCATAATAATTGAGTCATTTCAGTTCATTAAATTGTCTAAAGTCTTCAGTATAATAATATTTTGCAATGCGGTAGCTAGTGAGAATTTCTATGATGGCAGTGAAAAAAAAAAGTACATTAAAATGTCTTAAATTTTTTTTTTCCTTAATGCTGCAGGACTCGCAGCAGGTGTGTATTCTGGTCTCACTTATGGACTAAGGGAGGCTCGTGGAGTTCATGATTGGGTAAGGTGTTTTTGGGATTAGTAAAATTTATATTCTGCCTTTTTGACATATATACGAGGAAAATTGTTGTAGAAAAATCTTGATGATTTTCTCATGCTTGTGCACCAACTATTCACACCAAAGATTGTAAAGCATCATTACGCGTGGGCAGTCTGTTTCTGTTTCTGTTTCTGTTTTGTTTTCTTTTCTTTTCTGATTGGAAGAAGCATCACCGTCATCAGTACTAAGTATCACCCTTGAAATTGGTGCAGAAAAACAGTGCAGTGGCCGGAGCAATAACAGGTGTGGCACTGGCACTCACAACCGACGCTAAATCCCATGAGCAGATTGTGCAATGTGCTATCACCGGAGCTGCCATCTCCACTGCTGCAAATCTTCTTACAGGGATATTCTAAGTAGGAAATTGTGAGAGACTAGCGGCGTCTCAAATCAAACCCTGGCTGCTATTCTCCACTTTAGTGCATGCCATATTGCTGGTGTCTTAAGAATGTTCTTATCAGGATTTCTTTTGGGACTATATGTTTTTATCATAATCTTTGATTCTTAAACGGTGGTTCTGGCCTGCCTTTTTTTGGACTCATTTTGATGGGCAGTAATGAACGGATGTGTTTTTTTTTTTTAATAATAATAATAATTATTATTTGTAGACTTTCTAATATAGTATGCTTAATTATTGCTCTCGTTTAATGTTTTAATGGTGGTAAAATGCCCAGCATTGAAATAGGCATGGATAATGAGAATAGAATTAAATTCATGTTGATGCTTTAATATTTAATGTCTTTTAACACTTGTTAACATAAATAGTCAAAACTTACCACCTAGAGGAACCAAGTGGTACTGAGACAGACGATTAGAAGCAGCTCCCGCAATGAAGATTACTGAGTACCACCGGGTAAGATGGCTGTTGCCGTAGCCAAGCTTTGATGTGGTTATGCCACAAATTGAAGTGCTCACCATTCATCATGGGTTTGAAAAATCACAGGATTACTATCCGAACTTCCGATACAGCTTCAAGAGTACTATTCAAGGAGAAATTGATTTCGACTCCTAATGTGTTAAATCCCAATTGAACCTGAACTAGTTAATGCTATGAATTTAATTCCAATCTTCAAGGGTATAAAATATTGTGTTTTTCCTGTGTATTTTATAGTGGCAACTGTGTCTAATGTGGGATGAAACTGATAAATTTAATGGGACTAAGATAAACTTATAATGGGGCGATAAAGATGAAAATAAGGTTATACCGATCCAAATTGCGTCATTATGTTAATTTGTTCATGAACATATGCGTATACCTTACCTCGTTCATATAACAAAACACTGTCCCTCTTCTTTTTAATTTTTATTTCCCTATATCAATGAAATATAAAATAAAAATTTCCAATTTTAGTTCTTTAATTAAGAACATAAAAGAAACATCTAAAATTTATCAAGACAATATTGACAAATCACGTGAGTTCTATTGAAACTTTTACATGATGCTTTGGTATGAATTTTCATTTAAAAAAAGAAATTTAGAATCTATTTAGTAAATGAAATTGATTTACTATTTTCATTTAGAATGTGAAATTTTATAAAAGATTGGAGTTGTTTTTTCACAGTTATAATTATAAATTATTTGGATATAAGAAAACTAATATGGGATTCCTTGTCAAAGTGTGGTTAAAAGTTAGTTTGCGAGAAGCATAAAAATGATTCCTTCGTACTAATGTTTTAGATTTTGCAAACACCACATGTCCTTTTATATCATTTTAGTAACTTTTTATTCGGCATCCTGGGTAATCGAGTATTTTTCTAATGTTTTTTCACACACCAACCACAAAGCCAGTAGCCCAAAAGTAGCATGGGCTAGCTAACAAAATCAGGCAATTCTGAGCCCATATTAGGCTTATTTCTTGGGCTGATGAACACTCCATACATGTGATGTCGGTCCGTTCAAATCTCGGCCGCCTTAGACCTCTCTCTCTCTCTCTCTCTCTCTCTCTATATATATATATACACACACACACACACACATAGGCACATACATATGTATATATCATGGTCTTCTCTCTCTAACCCGTTAAATTGCAATCCGGCTGCAACAGTTTATAACGGGATCTTCTTGGTATGCAACTCTTTCTCTCTCTTTCTCAAAATTAGGGTTCTTGACATTAAATTCATTCGAAATTAGGGTTCTGTAGTCTCATAATTTCATTTTCCGTCATATGTTTCAGGGTATTTAACGCAACAATTAGGGTTTTTTATTTTTAGATTAGTTTTCTAGAAACCAAATTTCCGAGCGCTTTTTACTTAAATTTATCATTTATTGCAGGTGGTATAAGGATTTGGTATTTTTGTAAAAGGGTTTTATAAGTTATGTCGAGTAAGAAAGAAGAGAAATCTCAGGATGCGGCGGACAGGATAAAGGCCGCAGCCTTGACCGCGGCGAAAGGGTTAAGTAGAGCCCAAGCTGAACGGGCAGCAACTGCCGCTGCTCGTAATGTAAATGCTTATGGGCAAAAAGAAGAAGGGCCGAGTCGATGGCAAGAGAAACGGGAAGCAAAAAGGCAGATGTATTTGATGAGTACCGAAAAAGCCGTGAGATTGGGTGAGCGAAAAGATCTTAATTCTATGTCAAAAGCTTTTGGTGGCAACGCGCAGTGTCAGAAGTGTTTTCAAAGTGGTCATTGGACTTATGAGTGTAAGAATGAGAGGGTTTATATGTCCAGACCATCAAGGACTCAACAGCTTAAGAATCCAAAGTTGAGGATGAAGGTTTCGATTTCTTATGATTTGGAGAATCCGGAGGGGGAGGGTGAGGAGGGGCAAAAGAGGGAGAAGAAGAGTAAGAGGAAGCATAGGTCAGATTCGGATTCTACGGCTGACAGTGAGGCTTCAGTTTTTGAGACAGATAGTGGATCGTCGTCTGTGACAGGGTCGGAATCTTCAGAAGAGGAAAGTAGTTCGGGATACAGTTCATCTTCTTCGGAGGAAGAGAGGAGGCGGAGAAGGAAGAAGAGGAAGCAGAAGAAGAAGGATAGGCGTAGGAGGTATAGCTCGTCCTCTGATGAGTCTTCTGATTCAGACTCAGGTTCGTCTTCTGATTCTGATGAAAAGAACAGCAGGAGGAAGAGGAGGCAGCATAGCAGGAGGAGATGAAGTGAGTCAATCAAGCAGACAGGAGCAGTTGGTCTTGTCTGGTGTGTTTGGCTTTAGGAACATAAGCTTCACTCAGATTGTTCTCAGCAGTAGCTTTGAAGCTCATATTATGCTTTGAGGCCAATGTGGCATGTTAAGTAAAATATGGTAGTAGGTGTGTTTTCTTGTCTTTGCTTGGCTTTGCTTTTTTGTTGCTTTGTGATGTAATAATGCGAAATTGTAGTAGTCACTTAAAGATGTTAAAAACTTTTGACAGTTTTGTTGTTCGTAGACTTGGTTTCGTAAGGTAGTGATGAAAATGATCTGTGAATTATGGCGTGCAATCTTCTCTCCTTTCAAATGGTTGTTTGTGGATTGCACTTTTACTGGTTGTTTCCGTTGACCCATGGTTCTTGTTTATTAGTTCTGTACAATAAGCTATTGTCAGTATTGAAGAATCAAAACCATTTGAACTCGGTACTAATTGTGTGCATGTTATTATTTTCTTTTTCGAAGTACCTAGACTTTGTCCCTTCTTGTAGTTCAGGAGTACTCACAACCATAGGCCCATAACTACGGGGTGGTCCTGCCCTTTCTAATGTGCGAGAGGTGGTTGTTCTGAATGAATCTGCCGTGTTGCTAGGTTTGATTCTGCTGCTATAATAAGAAAGGCAATGGACTTAGTTTTTTGAGAATGGATGGACAAAGGTTTGGGTTCTGCTGCTATAATAAGCAAAGCAATGGACTTAGTTTTTTTGAGGATGGAAGGAAAAATGTTTGGTTCTGCTGCTTTTTAGAATAAAATGTGGCGTTTATAAGACCCTGGGTTAATGTGGTTAAACTGTCTTTTTATTGATCTGCCGAGCCATGTTAATGTTATCTAACAGCGTAGGATAGCCATTCGAGGCTCTTATGTTTGATTGCTTGATTGTTTCTTGTCTTTGAAGATGTCTCTCTCTCAAGAAATTGATTAAACTGGGTCGACACAGAGTTGCATCATACGGATTCAGGTAAAACGTTGTTGGACAGAAATGAGTTAATCTCGAGCGATCTAGTAAAGGGCCGGGCATCCAAGTTTTAGTCTTAGCTGGGCTGGACTGCTGTAAAGATATATGACCATTGGTTCAAGGATTAAGATGCCAAGAAGTTCTGCATCATTCTATTTGTACAGGTCCTAAGGCGGGCACAATTATGTCCTCTTTAGAACATGGAAGAAACGTCTACCCACTACAGCTCTTTATCTGAATTTACTCTATGTTTGTCGGTAGGGATTGATGAATGGATAAGAAATTGTTGTCCTTATCTGTTGTAAAATGTTTGTCTCCTTAAACTTTTATCCGATGTACAGGATTAAATTTAATGGCTAGAAATTTTTTCTAAAAAAAAATATTTAGGAAAGTATTTTGTGTGTGAAAAATGAAAGAGGAAATTTTTTTTAAAAAAGAGTAATTTTCAATTATTTCAATTTAAATGAACTCTGTCCCTTGTTAGACAAACAACTAGAACGATAGTAATTTTCCATCCCTCTTGCCTCTCTCCCCTTCCACTTCTCTCAATCCATCTTTCCTGACAAACAGAACGTTAGACTTTCCGGTTAATTCTTATGGCAATATTAACACCATGTGTCCATGTTAAAAAAAGTTAAAAGTGGCCAGTTTGTCAACTTTTCCAGTGTTCTCTGGATATTTCTTTCCTTTTCTGCCAGGACCAGGAATATCAATAGATAAAACAGGGGGAATAAAATGGACAAAGTAGAAATAACTCAATAAGGCCAGTTTTCAGAGTTTTTTGAAATAGCTTTCCAGTTTGCTGGAAGAGGTTGCAAAAGAAGCATCGTTTAGGATGAGTGCATACAAGTTCTGTCTTCAATGGTTAGCCCTTTTTTTTTCTCTTGCTATTCATTCATATCTATTTTAAGCACCTAAAATAGTTGACAAACCTAGTCCTAAACCATCGGGGAGAAAATAAAAATGGCGATTAACAGCGAACATCAGGACATTTAACTACGGTTTTTTCACTTCTTCACCCTAACTATTCAACAGTGCACAGCTTTCCATTAGTTCTGTCAGCATTTACCTCATGCTGGTTGTTATTGGGGGCGCCCTCGTGATTAAAAGTTGAATCAGAGTAAATTTCTCAATTCTTCGGGATCTAATATGATTCTAGTCTATCCCATATAGGATTAAGTACTGCTAACGCCTAATCTAAATCCTTAATAAAGTTTCTCTTTGTACGTTTCCACATGGGTTAATATTGCAACTTTGCTGTTGATGGCCAGTATTCATCATCATCTCATCTGTGCCTAAGCATACTCTCGTTCAGGACTACTTTTTGTTAAAATATGGTTATGTTTACGGATTTTGTAAAAAATTTCAGCAACAACATTCTATACCCCAAGGAAGATAAGAAGCAGAAGATTCTCCTCTACGCATGCCGCAGCTGCGATCACCAGGTTCCTCCCTCTTTTCTTCTATGATATAAGAAACTCTTATACAAAATGACTATTTTTATCAAGAAAACTAGCTATCTGAATGGGAAAACGAAGTTGTAAGCTTAGGAAAATAGCGTCCATATCTAGGCAAGTAAGACTTGATCTGCCACTGGGATTCCCAGAGGGAAAGATACGGAGAAGCCAGATCAATTTAGAGAAGGCGACATCAGTACTGCTCATCGAATGGGTGATGGAACAAGCTTGGAGTTGTTCTTAACCTTTATTAAAGTGCAAAATTTGAAAGATAAGTCTCGTGTGGCCAGGAGCTTTGATCACCTAGCTGGGTGGCATCCGATGATCAAAACACTTTGCCAGTGTTAAAGTGATTTGAACTAACGAAGGATGGAATATTAATGTATGGTGACATATTTAGATCATGAATAATTGTTGTGACGTGAATTAGAAGTTAAAATTTTTGGCACGGCAGTTTCAATCCTTGATTTACAGGTTCAATTTCCAAAACGTTGCAGGAGGTTGCTGGTAATAATCGTGTCTACAGAAATGAGATATATCACTCTGCTGCAGAATATACACAGGTGTTGCAGGAAGTAGCATCAGACCCAACTCTCCCTCGTACTAAATCTGTTCGTTGTGCTGTATGCGGCCATGGGGAAGCTGTCTTCTTACAGGTCAGCTCCCTCTCCCGTTATTGTTTTTTAGTGTCCAGTACTGTAAGTAACACCAAGACATCGCCTTAGTTTTAAGAAAAGCCAAGAGTTCTTGCAATAGTTGATTTTATGTTAGTGCACATCTTCTCTTTTCTTGGCCTTTTGGCACAGCAGCGGAGGTGGGTGAAGATTAGGGGGATAAAGGAAGCGAGAAAATCTATTTTAAGAACTCAGAGAAAATAGCAGAATATTGATTTCTTTGGAGTGTGATGTTTTTAATGTTAATGAATTTTTTGACGGAGACATCGCATTGGTTCCTGTAATATTATGGAAGTTTGTGTTGATGTGCAGGCAACTTCAAGAGAGGAAGGCATGGAACTGTTTTATGTATGCTGCAACCCAAACTGTGGGCATCGGTGGAGAGATTGAAGCTTTTCTACCCAGAATTTAAAGCTCTATATGCTGATGCATATGGACTCGTGTCAGTTTCACCCCTGAATCCAAATATGGCTCTAGATTCCTTATTGATCACTGGATGCAAATACCGACTTGTGTTGTTTTCGCTTCTGAATCCCATTACGACGTTAGTTGTTCAAGCTTCAGTGGATTCAAAACTGTCACCATATAGAATATGCATATGTATGCGTTCAACTTAAAAATTATGACACTGTATTAGCAAGATCCTTACGAAGTGAGGTTCTGAAGCCAAAGTACCCAATTTCCGTTTTACAATTACTCCTTGAGCAGCAAAACAGCATTGTTTCTGTCCTGCAACAGTTTTATCAGAATCTGATGCAACTCCAGATTCCAATCAATTAAGAATGCAAGACTGAATTGCAAGTTCAAGAACAAAGAATGATTTTATTCAACTAGAAAGAAAGAGTGAATTACAAAACTGTGTATATGCATTGAGAATTCCAGAATAACAAGAACAGTTTTAACAAAAGAAACACAGAGAGAAAACAGAGAGAAATCAGAGGGAAGGAGAATCCAATGGGCCTAAGCTCTTCCCCTTTTCGATTTATACAGTAACCGTTTGAGCTAACTACCAAACAAATAACTGACTTGCCAACTCAGTTTACAGAATCCCTCACGTGCAACACACCCTCTTCGTTAACTCTTCTACACATGTCTGCCAACTCACAGAAGCCCATCACAGCTTGGATTTATTAGTCCCGTTGGTTGTTAGTTCAGTCCTCCAACTATTTCAAATCAACTCCAACTAACCGTGCAACCTCCCCAATTGCTAGTCTTGCATCAATAGCCTTGCTTGAGAGAACTTTTCCTCGTGGTCGAAGCGAGGAAAACGTCTTTCAAGCTCAAATGCAAATTCTCATGGTCAAAGTGAATCATTAAACCATTGAACCAGCATCTTAGTAGTTGTTTGATTACTTCTCTTCATCATTTTCCTATTCCGAATAGCTATTGGCAACACACACTGGAGTATTCACTAACATATTTTTTTCATTAACTCTTTTGTACGTGTCTACTAAATCACATAAACGCACCACATCTTGGTTTATTTGTCTCTCCTATTATCATTTCAGTCCTCTAACTCTTCCAGTTCAACCACAGCTCACCCTACCACCTCCTTGGTTCATAGTCTTGTAACAGAATCCTATTACAGTATATTAGAATCGATGATTTCACTCTTTCACCCCCTTTAGAATTTTTACAGCATCGATTCTCATCCATTGAGTGAAAAAACACACGGCAATGACAATCATGAACACCATGTGGTAGTTAATCAGACAAGTAATTAAGTGTGTGATATATAAAGATGTGTTTTACGAGTTATTTTATGCCTACCTCAATTAAAAAAACTTTATAACAAAAAAAGATAAAAAGGTAGTTGGATATATAGTCTGTAAAATAGTCTAACTTCTAGACTTGAAAGTAAAAGAATTCAATTGATTACTCTAAGAGCGCTACTATTTATTTCCAATCTATCTAAACTGGTTGTATTGTGAGTTTGTAAAGATAATCATTCACAAAGTATGTGCTCTAAATTGACATTTCAAACGTTTAATCAAAATAACAAATTCAAATTAAAAACTAAAAGACTAAACAACTTATGTATTAGAAAAACAAGATGACAATCTTAATAGTAACCTAGATGCAAGCATGAATTGTAAATTTAGAGCTTTAACAATACGTGAAAGGAAGTTATGAGGTTGCAATTTTAAAAATATCCAATGTGTAAGGAAGAACTTACATTCATTAAGAACAAAAATGCTTATGAATTGATATTCTAGATATAAATATCTTGTAGAAATTGAGAATCACGATCACAAATTATGAACATAAAATAGAAACCAAAAACCAACTATATATTTATGAATTATCAACTTATTTGATTTTTGTCTATGAATTATTGCATATTTGGTTATAATCAACAAATTACTACCTAAAAATTATAGATTAATAACTTTTGAGTGTGTTGAAACTTAAGAGAGTGTTAAGTGAGTTATAATTTGCAAATTGAATTTATTTGTATGTTGTGTTTGTTCTTTTAGTCTCGTTACAGTTTGTATTTATAAGTTTTTTACTCCTCTATGATCTTGTGTAGTGGTTCAGGTTCTTTTATAGTTTGTCATATACCTTGCAATGCTGGATGTTCCTTGGCAACTCCTTGTTCTTGCATTGTAATATTCTATGTTTCTTATAATTGTCCATATCGTATCTTTGTTAGTGCTAAATTTCGGCTAATCTTGTGTTAAATGTTTACTGATTGGTTTTTTGTTTATTAAGATTGTCTCTCCACATATCTATTCATGATTTAATATTGTTAAGAGTCCGTATTCTATTTTTCTTTGGCCAGAAAAATGCTCAATTTGCTGCTGCAAGTTTTCCCTGTTCATTACATATGAATTGTGTCTTTAGGCTACAAACTGATTGGATACTGAGTTTGGAATAAATGTGGCTTAATGAAAGCCTATCGAAAAAGAAATAAAGAGCATATTTTTTAAAAAGAATTTATAAATTATTATTATTATTATTTAATTCTTTGGGTTATCAAATTCAAATCAAATTTTAACATGATCTGAACAGTCAAAACAGAAACTAAAGGGCACCGACAGAAAAGAAAAACCAGTTCAATGACACGTCATTCAAATCTAGACCAGGGAATCCCGGATCTCTTGAACTCGGGTTGGTAGTCCGCAGCTGGATCAAAGTGCCCATCTCTACATTATTATTTTTAGGATTAGTTGAGTAGGAATGATATGCTAACTCCAAAAATGTGGTTGGTTGAGTTAGGATCCGGTTTTTTTTTTTTGGCCTATAAAGCCTCTCCACATTGCATTCTTCGGACTTTTGTTTATTTTATTTTTGTTCCTGTTAAAAGAATTATCATCCCAGCATTATCAGTCAGATGGGGACAAGCTTTTTGTCAATTAGTGCCTTTCTTTTTAAAGTGGTTTGCAACATTTTATAATGCTTTCTTGCAATATTTAAAGGTAAATTTTAAAATTTATTAAATATGTACCATTGAATCAAAATTTCAAAGGATTCATCTGGTTGTTTAATATTTTAAAATTTATCTGCTTGATGTTCCACTTTTAATTCAATTCCATGATCATCCGTTTACTTCCACCCTCAAATCGCGCAAAATCAAATCAAATCTCGCTGCAAATTAAACCCACATCTCCTGCTGAACATCAAGATATTTAATATGTCCAAGAACGGAGATCGCCTCTCCCACCGTTAGATGCAAATCGTGTTACTTAGAAAGATTCCTATCAAAATCATGTTGGCTTGTCACTGTTTGTAGTTTTCCATTATGCTGTAAATGTCCTTTATGAAATCATCAAGACATCAACCATGGATCTATCTTGAAATTTGCAAATTTTCTTGTGCTCTCAATTTGGAGAAGGAGAGTGTTATTATTAAACCAAACAGTGATCTATCATAATTATTCATGAATAAGAAACGCTTACAAAACAGTAAGGATGTTTTTGCTATGTATGTGAAAAAAAAAAAATTGCATTATAATAAACGAGAGAGAGAGAGAGAGAGAAAATATATTTTTTTAAAATAATTTGAATTAAAATTTTTTATAATATGTTTGTTATTTATTGTTTTACTTAAACCGAGTAAAAAAGCTAACATTGTTTTATAAATTTTAGTTGAAGATGTATGCTTAATAATTTATAATAGTATGTTAGTTGATTTATATGCGTCTTATATCCTTATTATTTTTCAATCATATTCTTTTTAAATAAATTATTAAATTATGTTATATAATTTGTATCATTTCTTCTAAATTATGTGAGAACAATCAATGATTTAAATTGAATATGTATTTAAATTGTAAAATATATTAATATATGTCTATTGTTAGATTTTGTTTTTTGTTGTTTTTTTATGTTTCACCATACCATTTTCAAACATAATTCTTTCAATTAATAAACAACAACAAAAATCTCTCAATAAGTATGTTTTGCTTAGATATATGAATAAAATGAACTTAATATAATAATTGATGAGTTCGTGATTTCTTGATTCGTTTGAACGGTTAAATATATTTTTTATGATTAATCGTAGGATGAAGATTTGTCATTATCTTGGATATTATGACAAGTTTTTATTTGGCCAAATTAGCGTAAAAAAGAAGTGCTTGGCTAATTTGCCTAATAATATATTTTTGGATATATATGGTCTGATTAGGTTCAATAGTATATTTTTTTTGTTTTATTTAAAAATGATAGGATATATTCATCTTTTCTTTTATTTATACGGCTTTTGATTGAAATTTTTACAAATTGAAGTTTTTTTAAGTGAATATCTTGTAAATATTGATACAAGTATCATCGTTACAGTAATGCATGAGATAATATCGTTCATTGAACGCTTGCCTTTTGTACCTTTTTTTCTATAAAAAGGAGAACTAAACTTGGAGATTGAAGATAAATTTTGCGAAAGAGTGTTTCCAGTTGTAAAATGTTTTTGATACGAGAGTTTCGTATAAACATATTTAGAGCAAACAAGTTCGTTTTTTATACGTTGGCAAAAGACATGTATCGGGTCATATTTTTACAAGTATATACCAATAAGAAAATAATTCAAATTATGAATAATTACGTACAATTTTATTATTATTTACAGGTAAACACAACAGCAATAATTGCGATGGTTATATTAAAAATCATTTTCGTTTGCTTGTCGATATAATTGGGCTCCACATATGTTTGGCACTTCAAAAAGAGTACAATCCCCAATGAAAACGTGCTACCCTGACAGGATTGGATTCCTCATGCACCTTGTGGGATCCAATTTATCAACGGTACACTGACTGGCTGGGGTAAATACAAGTGTTATCTTTCCATTTTTTATTCGACATTCATAGTTCAACTTTCTTATTTCCTTATTTAGCAAAGAATTATTCATTTCCAAAAAAGGAGTAAGGAAGTTATTCCCAGCTAGGTGGAGAGATCAGAGAAGATGTCTCGTCCAGAAAGCAGTGAGAGATGGTCTCTAAAGGGAACTACTGCTCTTGTCACTGGTGGAACCAAAGGAATCGGGTAATTACTGATCCCATTTACTACATATATACTTAACCTTTTGTTTGGTTCGGATGAACAAAGTTTTTTGCTTAGTTTTTTGTTTCTGTTCTTATCAATTACTAGATCTCACTAAGAACAACAAATTAAGCAGAAAATTAATCTCTTTGGGTTGCTAATTGATGTATGAATTCATGTAGCTCGCTTTAAAATTTGTCAGAAGCTCAACATAACTAACCTTATGTATTCTTTTTTCTATGGTGAATCAAATTTAATCAGGTATGCTATTGTGGAAGAATTGGCAGCACTTGGTGCTATTGTTCATACATGCGCGAGGAGCCAAGGCCAGCTTGATGCATGCATACGTCAATGGAAGGAGAAGGGTCTTAAAGTTGGTGGATCAGTCTGTGATGTATCCTCTCAAGCTGAACGAGAGAAGTTGATAAAGGAGGTTTCCTCCCTGTTTGGTGGGAAACTCAACATCCTTGTAAGTATCAACATCAGTTCATGCATAGAAATAAAGTTTAATTTCTTCAGAATTAAGAACTTGTCTTCATCTTCAATTAAGCGTGGCTATTATGACCAACTTTCTATTAATTAATTTATAGATAAACAATGCTGGAACCAATGTATACAAACCAACTTTAGAGTACACGGCTGAGGATTTTACATTTATGGTGAATACAAATCTCCAATCTGCTTTCCATTTGTCCCAACTTGCACATCCACTTTTGAAAGCTTCGGAAGCTGGAAGGATTGTCTTTATGTCCTCTATTTGCAGTGTGACATCTGTCAACATTGGATATCCTATATATTCAGCTACTAAAGGTACTGAATTTTCTTTCAACAGCTTGTGTATATTGTCAATTAAGGAGTTGTTCTGTTCGTTGTAACTTGTCATGATCACAAAAAAATGTTGCAGGAGCAATTAATCAACTCACAAGGAACCTGGCATGCGAATGGGCTAAAGACAATATAAGAGTTAATTCGGTCGCTCCTTGGTTCATCAGAACCTCAATGACCGAAGATGTAATATTCTCTACTCTGGCGTACACATTCTTTTAATTTAGTTAACCTAATAGTTGTTTGATGGAAGCATAATTTGCCATTTTGACATTGTTATCCAATTCAATGCTTATTCACATTAAAATATAAATGCACTTACGCCTGTGTGAATGTTAGGACTTAGGAAGTGAATGATATCTAACATTCTTGCTCATGTCTACGCAATTAAATCTCAAAAGGACATGGTTACTTTGATGCTATGGGGATTAGGAATGGCAATGGGTGCTAATCTAACCTATTAATTCAATTTTGTATTCTATTCATTAAAAGAATCTCTTATCCATTACTCATTAAAAAATCATCATATAAATTTTTATACAACCATAATAGCTTACCCGTTAAATTTAATTTACAAAAAATATTCATTTTAATCCTTATAATTTTTAAGAAAAGTTTTTTTATCCTTAAAATTTATTTCTTTCTGGCATTTTGAACATTTATTTATAAGTTTTTTTTTTAAATAGTTTGATCCTTAATTTTTAAATTTTATGCAATTAGATCCTTATATGTTAATAAAAAAAATCTAAATAAATTAGTTATTGATAGGATAAAAATTGAATACTCATATTCTGAAATTATATTAATGGATATGTATTTTTTTATCCTTACCTATTTAAATACTAATTGGGTATTTTTAATGTTATTTATTGGGTCGGTAAAACAGGTACTCGTCTCATTGTCATTCCTAATTTGGATAGAAAATGTTTTTCTTTCTTTTGAAGCAAAAAACCATCAAGGAGTTATGTATTCCATGTATGCAAGCAATTGCTGCTAAGCAAAATTGGTAGTTCCTCTATTTTCAACATTACATGCGATATAAGTCCATTTCCTTGATTAAATTTGCATCTTGTAGTATTTCATAGGTGTCATATGAAATAAGCTTTTCTAGGTCTACTTACTTCTTTTAGGAGCATGCCTCTGTATTTTCTTTCAGGTTGAATGAACATATATTACTTCATATAATTAGTATTTGATTTTGTTTGATTTTTCATGATCATCTGAAATTACCCAATGACTTGTCACATCTATTTTATTTTCCTTTCAGAGTCTTGAAAATGAAAATGTGGTGAAGGAGCTTGCTCATCGTACCCCCATGGGACGTGCTGGAGAACCAGGAGAAGTCTCTTCTGTTGTTGCATTTCTTTGCCTGCCTGGGCCGTCCTTTACTACCGGACAGGTCATTTGTATTGATGGAGGGATGTCAGTGAATGGCTTTTCCATGGGTTGAAAACAGATCACTCTACTAAGAGTACTGAATAAGAGGATCCCTTCTCAGTAGTGGATATTGGAATAATGGATACCATATATGGTAGTATGAAATAAATGTGGGAGCTTTGAGTTTTTTGCTAGAACGTTAGCAATATATATATATATATATATATATATTTGTATCTGGGAGTTTTAGTATTGACTTGTATGTCTCGAAATTTCAAATTCGTGTGATATTTGTTCACCAGGTGCATCTCTAGACTGTATGAGAGCTCTATTACATTTGACTGAGTCTTTAAGAAATGAAATTTTAAGTGAATTGTGTCTTTAATCAGCACGGGATCCGCGTCGCACATGGAAATCTATTCATGGGTTATGACTTATGGCCTAAGAAAAGAAGAATCAAAAGCATAAGAGATGCAGGATAACCTGTACGAACTATGTACCAAGAATATCACTTATTTCTCACACATAAATCTACAAATTGTATTAATCAAGTTATCTACTTGTTTGAAGAGTTTTTGGCTTATTCGATCGCTCGACCACCATCATCTTGTAAGTTTTAGTTTGATAAAAAGCATCTTAATTAATTGTACAACAAATTGGCGCAAGTCATTTCCAGTCCATCGATTCTCTGGTTCTGTATCTGCAATCTGGTCCTTCCATTTGTCTTTAATATCGAGCGTTCTAGAGGGTTTTTTTTTTAAGAAAAAAAATATGCAGAGTGGCCTTTTGATCCAGATGTTCGTCCACTAACTTCAGCATACATATGTGGTTCATCTGTTAGGCACCAGCTGCAGAGGACTTGAAGATTGCATTGGTGCTGGATATTTTCTGGGGAAGCATTTGAAGATTGCCTGTGTTACTGGGAAACACTTGAACGCACACACGTGGGAAGGAGAAAGTAATCGCACGTGAGTCACTGAAACAGCTTAAACATTGCTGAGCTGGGGTGGAAGGCAGCTAGCGTTAGCTGACGTGGAAACATAGTTAGAATTTGTTAGGAAGTCAGTTAAACACGTGGAAGTTAGTTAGAGAGAAACCGTTACTGTATAAATCAAGGGAGAGAGAGAAACAGAGGCGTTCTTTTGGCATTGAGTTTTCTCTGCTCCTCTCTCTGATTTCTCCCTACTTCTTCTCTGTAAAACCCTCTTCTTTCATTCGGCTTCATTTGCTTTATAAATCATTCAACAGTATTTTGCAAACTGATCTTGCATTTCAATTGAATAAAGTTCATACAAGTTTTGAATTCATCATAGAACTGTTCTATTCTCTATTTGTTCTTGATTTGGAATTTGGAACACATCAACATCTTAGCCCAAGATCATATCACGGACTTCAAAGTAGAAAAAGGGCAGTTGCAAGGTCTTCTACTGAAATCGAATTTCGGGCTGTAACAGCAGCTACAGCTTCAAGAGCGCTTGGGAGTTAGTTTCTCTTAGCTGCTAACAATTTTGTGCGATAATGTTGGGTCATTGGGGTTAAAGAAGGTTTGTAGTAATGGCTTAGCATCCTTACGAGATTCACTATCATGCCCATGCAAGCTCAAGGATCTTGGAAGGACACTAAGCTTAGAACAATGGTGTTGAAAAATATTGCGTGTGATGGGTTTGGGGAGTGAGTCAGCAAGCTGATCAGAGGAGTGAACATCAGTAATCCGAAGCATTTTGGAAGCGACTTGATCATGGACAAAGTGAAAATCTATGGCAATATGCTTCATGCGAGAATGAAACATTCTATTAGAGGAGAGATATGTAACGCCAACATTATCATAGTAGATGGTTGATAATGTTGGCGTGAAGATAGTTAATAAGAAGAAGAAGAAAATGAAGAAAAAAGCTATTGCACATTTCTGTTTTTCAGTTTGTTACATTTTGTAGCTTATATACATTTGAGCTTTCATCCTCTACATCTAAGCTAACATACTCCTATAAATTTTGTTATATAATAAACTAACCAACTAATCACAAAGTCATAAATATTCTCTCAATACTCCTCAAGTTGGGTGTTTATGAAGTTGATGGTTTATGTATGTCATAAACACCTAACTTGGATAAAAGGTATTGATGATGTTTGCTCCCAAGGCCTTTGGTGAAGATATCTGCTATGTGTTCTTACGTCTTAACATGTGTAGTCTCGATCGGTCTAGCTTGAGTTTCTCTCGACTATGTGACAATCAATCTCGATATGTTTAGTTCTTTCTTAGAAAACTGGATTTGAAGCTATGTGTAATGTAGCTTTGTTGTCATAGTTTATCTCGGCTACTTCTAAACATGTCACTCCTAGCTCTTGCCACAATCCAACAAGCCATACCACTTCACATGTAGCTGTGACCATAGCTTTATATTCAGCTTCAATTGATGATCGAGAAATGATATTTTGCTTTTATTGTTTTCCAAGACAACGAGAAAGTACTAACAAACACACGGAAACTAGTTAAGGACTTTATTTTCGTAGGATAAGAAGCCCAATCAAAATCATAATACACCGTCGACTTCGACTTACTAGAAGAGGACATTACGATTCCAAGGCTTAGACTTCCCTTGAGATATTTAAGAACCCTTAATGCGAGTTCATATGAGAGATCTTTGGTTGATGCATAAATTAGCTTATAATCTACATAGCATAGCATATGTGTGGCCTAGTGATGGTTAGATAAATGTGCTTCCCTACCAATCTCTGATATTCTATAAGATCGGGTAGGATTGAGTCTTGAATGTCACCGACAATTGACTCATCAAACTATGCTCGTAGTCGGTTTTAGATTTTGTTCCGAGTGGCTTCGTATCGATTTTGAACCAAGCATACACGCATCATATAACAACTTTATAGTATACTTTCTTTGATTAAGACATATTCCTTGCTTCGATCTTGCAACTTCTATTTTCAAAAAATATTTCATACATCCCAAGTCTTTAATATAGAAAGTCTTATGTAAAAAAACTTTCAATTCATTTATACCCTTTATATCATCACTTATTATTAAAATGTTATCCACATACACCAATAAAACAACTATCTTCTCATTCTTCCTTTAATAAATATAGAATAATCATGTTTAGACTCGAAAAAGCCGAGTATGTAACTTTTTTTCAATAAACTTTGAATTTCAATGTCTTAAAGCTTGCTTCAAGCCATAAAGAGATTTAAGTAATCTACATACTCAACCCTCTCCCCGATTGCTAAATCTAGGTGGCAAAGACATGTAAACCTCCTTATGAAGTCCCATTGCAAGAAGGCATTAGTAACATCTAATTAGTATAATTGTCGATCATGTATGGCGGCTAAGGCAACAACAATCCTAATCGTTATCATTTTGACAACATGAGAAAAAATATCACTATAATGGATGCCTTCTAGTTGGGTATAATTCTTAGCCACTAACCCGGCTTTATACCTCTCCACACTCCCATTATAATTAAACTTCACTTTATAAATCCATTTGCATCCTATAGGTTGTTTGCCAACTGGCAAAAAGACTAAAGTCCATATCCTATTAAAATCAAGAGCTTGGATTTTCTTTTTCATAGCATCTACCCACTTAGCGTTCTTAACGACCTCGAGAAAAGAAGTAGGCTCATGAACAAAAGAAATAGAAGAGATAAAAGCTATATAAGATGATGAGATAGAGTTATAAGAAAGGAAAGCATTAATAGAATATTTAGAAGCAGAAGATAAGGAACTGTAGTTGGAATTATGTATGGTAGGATAGAAAAAATATTTAGACTAAATAAGAGGTGTGGACATTTTGGCAAACCTACGATGAGATATCGTAATAATAGGATTGGTGGAGGAAAGAGAAATGACGAGTAAGAAAGGATTGTGTGTGGTCGGGAGAAATAATAGTAGGAGAGGATTGTTCTGGAGAATGTATGATGGTAGATGGAATAGAAGATACAAGGGAAATAGAGGTATCATAATCATATAACCATTGATTAACAAGATTAAAAGGGGTAATCCGAGATGAAAGAGGAGAAGGAAATAGAGGAATGAAATGGAAACAAGTTCTCTTGAAATAAAAAATATATGGAAATAAAAATTTGATGAGTTACTATGTCTAAGACTTTGTATCCTTTTTGTGAATAAGGATATCCAAAAAAAAAAAAAAAAAAGACTAGTTGTGGACCTATGAGCAAACTTATCTAGACAAGGGAAGACTTTGGCATAACACAAGCAACCAAAAACTCAAAAATGAGTGAAAACGGGAGGTTTGTGAAATAAAATTTCAAAAGGAGTTTTTCCATTGAGAAAAGGTGTAGGAGTCCTATTGATGTTGTATATGGAAGTTAAGATACAATCATCCCGAACTGAATTGGAATATAATACTCGAAACATAAGGGCGCTTACAATATTGAAAATATGCTTATGTTTCCTTTCTATAATCTCATTTTATTGTGGAGTATAGGTAATACTAGTTTCATATAAAATATCCTTGAAAAAGAACAGAGTTTAACAAGCATGTTGAAGAAATTCACAACCTCTATCCGATATGACCCTACAAATAGGACTAGAAAATTGGGTATGAATAAGTGCAAAGAAATGTCAAAGTAATTGAAAGACTTGAGATTTGTTTTATAGGAGAAATGTGCAAGTTTCTCTAGAAAAATCATCAATAATCAATAAAAAAAAAAAACCTTTTTGATAGTATGCTTGGATGTTTATATGGATCCCATATATCCAAATGTATGAGTTCAAAAATGGAATAAGTAACATAGGTGCTATGAGGAAAGGGTAATCTGGCTTGTTTTGCAAATGGACAAATTTCATGAGCAAAAGGAACTATAATATCGAGAATTAATTTGAGTCGTGAAAAAGATACATGGCAAAATCTTTTATGCCAAAGAGTTATATTTAGAGGACAAATTATCTTACAAGTAGCTTTATTACAAAAAGTCACAAAAGGACTTGAAAATTTCTTACTAAACATAGAATTTAAATTACAACATAAACAAGAATGACTTGTATGAAAGCTGCAGAAGCATATGATGATTTTAGAGGAGAGAAGACAAAATGAGATGA